AAGAAGATGCATTTCTGTAGGGTTTTCCATATATCTGCTGATAAGACTGACTACATGCATTATATCTGGTCTTGTTGCAATTAAATACATAAGGCTTCCCACAATTTGCTTGTATAAAATTGCATCAACCTTCTTTCCTTCATGGTCTTTGGTAAGCTTCAGCCCAAGCTCAACCGTGTACCAACAGGATTGCAATTTGTCATTTGAAACCTTTTCAAGATCTCTCGAACATACTTCTTCTGTGAGATAAAGATCCCAACAGAGTTTTGTACTACTTCAAAGCCAAGGAAGTAATGCATCGAACCTAGATCAAACATCTCAAACTCCGACATCATTGATTTTTTGAAATCATCAAACATAGCACTACTATTTCCAATGAAAATTAAATCGTCGACATATAAACATACTATCAACAACTCACCAACAGATCCAGATTTGACAAATAAAGTATGCTCATGTGGACATTGTTGGAAGCCTGACCTTGAGAAATATGTAGCTATGCAGTTGTACCAAGCTGGAGGAGTTTGTTTCAGCCCATATAAAGCCTTTTTTAGCTTGTACACCTTCTTCATATTCCCGTTTTGAAATATCCAGGAGGTTGATCAATATACACAGATTCTTCCAACTCGCCATGTAGAAACGCAAATTTCACATCCAATTAGAAGATTGACCACGAGTTTTGTGCTGCCAATGCAAGTACCAATCGAATGGTATCATGTCTTACAACTGGAGCAAAAACCTCTTTGTAGTCAACACCAAACTCTTGCTTGTAACCTTTTGCAACTAGACGAGCTTTGTACTTGTCAACTTTCCTTCTGCATTCAACTTTGTCTTGTAGACCCACTTGACACCAATTGACTTCTGTCCTTTGGGAAGATCGGTCAGTTCTCAGGTGTTGTTCTTCTCAATAGCTGTGATTTCGTCATCCATAGCCTTCTGCCATTTTGGGTCTTTGACAGCATCTTGAAACATAACAGGATCACAGTCTACAAATAGTGCAAAATGTGTGAGTGGATCATCTGATTGATCAACTCCACGTACCTCATAATCTTGCATCCATGCCGGTCTCCTTCTGATACGTTCTGGGCGGGATATGGCTGAAATTTGAGAGTCATCTTCTTCAAACAACACTGCAGGTTGACTTAAAGCGCTGGAATGTTCACCCACTGGAACTTGAGAATGGCTTTCTTCTTCCTCATCATCAAAGCTCACAGTAATATTCTGACTGGAATTGTTAGAAATGTCTGCCCACGTCCTCTCCTCATCAAAAATCACATCCCGACTGATAATGATCTTGCAGGTGATGGGACTAAACAACTTGTAGGCCTTTGACTGCTCACTTACCCCAAGAAAGATGCACTTTTCTCCTTTATCCTCCAGCTTCTTCCTTTTCTTATCTAGTATATGTGTGTATGCTACGCACCCAAAAAATTCGCAAGTGATCGACATTCGGTCTTTGACCACTCCATGCTTCCTCAAGTGTTCTATTTCGAACAGCAACCGTAGGACTTCTGTTCAATAGATGAATACTCCACAAGACTGCTTCTGGCCAAAATCTTTTAGGAAGAAAAGATCTGTTCGGCATACTCCGCACCATATTTAAAATCATCTGATTTTTACATTCCGCTACACCATTTTGTTGTGGAGAGTAAGAAGTTGTAAGCTGCCTTTTGATTCCATGCGTCTCACAGAAATTTGCGAATTCCTGTGAGTTATATTCTCCACCATGATCTGTGTGTAGAGTTTTAATAGGTTGCCCAACTTCTTTCTCAACAAAGGCCTTATAATTTTTGAATGCTAACAAAGCTTCAAATTTTTTTGCAATAAATAGACCCATGTTTTACAACTAATGTCATCGATAAAGGTAATAAAATACCTCTTAATACCATTGGACGACGGATTAATGGGACCACATATATCGGAATGCACCAGGTCCAACACCTTCTTGGCTCTCCATGCTTCTCTTTGGGGAAAAGGTCTCGATGTTGCTTCCCAATCACACATTCTTCACAAACACGTGATGGATGATCAATGTGTGGAAGACCAGACACCATACTCTTTTGTTGAAGCAGCTTGAGACCAAAGAAGCTCAAATGACCATAACGGAAATGCCACAGCCATGCTGAGTCTTTCACCATAACAGAAAAATAAGGAAGACTGGTATTTTGGATCAATAAAGGGAACATCCGATTTGCCGTCACATTAATTTTAGCAATCAGACCCTTCCTTGAATCCTGAATTAGACATGTCCCATCCTAAATGATGATCTCATAGCCCTTTTCTTGAAGTTGACCAACACTCGGCAGATTACTCATCAAACTTGGTACATAGAATACATTTGAAATGGTCTGATGAGTACCTTTAGAGGTCTGAATTTGTACGTTGCCTTTTCCCATAACAGAGATGGTCAAGCCATCTCCAAATTTAACAGATGAACAGTAGGGCTCATCTAATTCAGAGAATATGGACTTGTTCCCACACATGTGATTACTTGATCCTATGTCCAAGTACCACATGCTTTCATGGGACTCCTCAGCTACATTACATGCCATTAAAAGAGAAATTTCTTCTTCCTGTTCAACAAAATTTGATTTAGCTCCCTTTCCTTTGTGCATCTTTATCCGACATTCAGAACGGTAATGGCCGTACCTGTTGCATCTAAAGCATTTGACTTTGGATTTGTCAAACGCTTTTGATTCATGGTCATCACTGTGGTGATCATCCCGTCCTCTACTGCTGCCTTGGTTTTTGTTTTTGGTGTTGTTTCCTCCCTTTCCACGCCCAGAACCCTTCTGTTGCAAAGATGGGTTGTTGGACGAGTATTGCACCAGCAATGCTTGCTCCACTACTTCATGTTGATAAATTCGCTGCTCGTGGACAGGTAGCGAACTCATCAATTCTTCAATCGAAAGGACATCAAGATCCTTTGATTCCTCAATTGAGCAGACCACGTAGTCGAACTTCTTCGTCATTAAACGAAGAATCTTCTCAACCACAGTTATTTCTTCCACTTTTCTCCACACGATCTCATCTTGTTCACAATAGACATAGTTCTGAAGAAATATTCCTCCACTAACTCTGTCGGCTGCATGCGAAGAGTCTCAAATTGCGAATGAAGTGCTTGAAGTTGAGATCGTTTCACCTTTACATTGCCTCGATACTTTTGCTTCATTGCTTCCCAGATTTGTTTTGAAGTATCTTTGGTGAGTATGGTCTCCAGGATTGTGCGATCAATGGCCTGGAATAGGTAGTTCTTTGCCTTCAAGTCCTTCAATTTGATTTCCTCCAGCTTCACTTTCTAAGCATCCGTCAAAGTGCTAGACTCTGCCGGTTCTGTATATCCAACCTCAATGAGATGCCAATACTCTTTGGACCTCAAGAGGTATTCCATTAGGATGCTCCAATGATCATAATGACCATCAAATCTAGGTATAGCAGGCTGCACAAATTGCACTGACGCCATTGAAAGAGAACTGCTATTGCCCAGAAAAACAAGAGGAAGTAGATAAAAGCTACAGCTTTCAACAATTTCTACGTCTCCTGTTTTTGAAACAAGCTCTGATACCACTGTTATAATTTATCAGAGAAAAGAATGATATGCTGGAATATTGAAGTAGTAATTTATTCATCAGATCAAACTCCTTAAATAGAAGATTACATCAACTAACATGCCACTAATTTAGGAACTGCCTCATAACAGTAGCAGAGAACAAAGGAACAGATTAGATTACTGATACTCCTAGCAACTGACTCCTAAAGACTAGGACAACTAAAAAACACAATTTAATTTATAAAACTAAATTCCTAACAGAGTTTACTATATTCAGTGAGGGTAATATTAAATATTTACTCCAAATAGAAAGCTCCAACCGACTGATTTTCTCTTGGGGTTTAGGGTTATTTAGATCAGAACACTCACCGAAACAAATGGCTAGGATAATACCGTTGCAGAAGGCCTAACCGTCCATGTTCGCCGACAAACTACGATTTGGAAAGCTGTGCCGTTGTCGTCCCTCGGATTTTAGCATAAGAAGATGATCTTGCCCTCGATCACTTAGGAGATGAATCACTACATGAAGGTTTAACAGATTTTGGATGGGATCTTGAGGGGCATCTAAGGTGGAGCTTGGAGGGAAATGTTCTGGAATTATGTTGTTTTGTTTGTTTTGGAGGGGGGAGAGAGAGAGGGAGAGAGAGAGAGTGGTTGGGCTATTTTCTTGATCCATTTTGATTGGGCTAATAATTTTTTCCGCAATATTTCTAGGCCCATCATTTTACTGGACAAATCCTTTGTCTTTCTTACAATTTTTTTTTTTTTTGGGTAATTAACTTTCTTACAATTTTAATCTTATACAGAAACTACAAATATTTTTGGATAGAGGAAGATGGAAAATTTTAATTCATATAAACACAACAAAAAATATAATTCATATAGTCAACATTAAATAATTGATATTAAGGGTTTGAATTGAGTTGAATTTATTGTTTATTCGTTCTTTAAGATTATACAATATACACTCATCAATAAGCATCTCAATATCATTTAAAATATGATAAAAATATCAAAAATCACTAAATATCGATGTTTACATGATTTTAAAAATTATATGAGGGGGTGTGAATTGAAAAGATCTAAATTAGTTTTTGATTTTTGTTAACGTAACATTGATTATGTCACAGTCCCGATTTTTTGGTGTTACTTAAAAGTATACCTTCTACTTAAACTATGGAGTCAATTTATGATGAACATGGATTGAGGAGTTAAACCAGAGTTCGAAACACTTTGCAAAAAACTCACCTGCTGATAAAGCTTGCAAGGGTTCTCCTTTGGAATCCCTGGTATGAAGCGCAATCCTTGTTTTGTGGTGACTATTCACAGCATAAAAATCAGAAATTGCCATGGTAATGCAACTATGAATTGTCTTCCCAACCCATGAACCCAGATCGAGAATCACTCCAACCCGAACCTCATTTGCTACCGTGGGACTATTGCCTTGTGATCGATCGAATCGGGCATGTAAATGACTCGGAATGACCAAGAGTTGTATTACAAGTGAAAGAATGATCTGGGTTCTCCTCCTCATCTTCATTGGGTAGTTGTTGTTCAACTAAGATCTGAACCTTACATTGCCAGAATTTCTATACTTATATAGTTTGAGGATTGCTAAAAAGCAACAGTTCTGTCAACATCATATGTAAAACCGCGTAACGGGAATTTTCCCAAGAAGAAACAAAAGGTAGGAAAAACACGATAGACTAGGGGAAAAGACTAAGGTAATTGCGGGAGAAAAACAATTTTGGTACCATTCTTCTAATTTTTATTATTTTTGTGAGCATTTTTATAATTTTTGTAGATATTTTTATCACTTTTCCAATAATTATTTTTACAACTTATTATGATAACTTGCTATTAATTCTAACTTTTAAAATTTGGAGGAGTAATGCTATATAAACTTAAAAAGTACACTTAAAAATTAAATTTGATAATCATAACTACTGAATAGGCAATGAGTCCCAATAAATGTTGGGACCTATAGTAAAATTCATTGTTGTAATTATTAAATCTAATTTTTAAGTTCATGTAATATTATTCAATTTAGAGTCAAAAATTTGAACGCTTTGTGTTAAAGCACAGTGGCAGCATTTGCTTTTTCACACCTGAATTTCTATCACTTATCTCTCTTTGACATTAGTAGACAAATCGCCTTGATTAAAGAATTCAAATCTCTGGTTATTTAGGGTATGTTTTTTTTTTCTTTTTTTCAGTTCAGGGCATTATTCAGATTATAGCAGTTGGTGCAACATACAACCATATTATAAAAAAAAATGTTTAATTTCAGTTTCTTTTTACTGGGGCTTAGTACTACAAGATAATCTAGAGTATATGTCACTTCTTTTAAATTCTTCTGACTAACTTACAAAGTGTCCTAACATCTTAGGAAATTCACTGTAATATCTCATTGTATAATCGTTTTCGCTGACTAAAAAATTGATTGGAGGAGCCCGACCTTCTAAAAGGAAAGCAAAAACAGAAGAGCATTCTAGTACGATGATATCATTATGAGATTCGAGTAATCCAAAAAAGGCATGTCAACTCCAAAGATCATATGAAGTCACCGCCTCCAAAATAATTGTTGGTTCATGGACGTGACCAGAATACATACATTTCCATGTTGTTGGACAATTCTTTCATTTTTCAATGCATACAATCAATGCTACCAAACATTCCAAGAAACCCACGGTTGGTACTCATTGCTAATAATCTAACAATGTCATCGTTGTTTGGTAACCTAAGGTATTCATCAAAAAAATTAATACTACTGCCCTCAAAATTTTTTTCAAAATTTCTATTACGGTGTTTTTGTCAATCCTCACATAATCATCAACAGCATCTACTGCAACTCCATAAGCAAGCATCCTTGTGGTGGCTGTCATTTTTTGGAGGTAAGACAAGCCAGTAATTCCAACAGCATTTTTTTTGGGACAAAATATGGATCACAATCTTCCACCTTGATAGAATACGAAAGAAAAGGGCTCGATTCATTCGAAACAGTCTTCGAAATAAATTTTGGGAATAGATAGGCAGTTCATCAAAATAATCACGATACAGTTTCTCGTGGCCTTAAACTCGATTGCAAAAAATAACTGAATGACCTTGAATGGAACCATGACGTATGACAGAGCTTTCATCGCTATTGAGTTTGTTCATTTCAATAGCACAAATTGTTACCATCTCCAATTCATCATTGGAGCTAGAATCGTTAAAAATTATGTTCATTACAGAATATCGAACCATAACATAAACACAAAGAAGAGTTTATAGAGAATAAATAGATTTGAGGTGTATGACAATGAGAGATGAAAGATCCTATTTATACATATCCAAAAATATAACTGTTGTAAATATGACCATTAAAAAACTCAAATTTTAAAATTTGAATTTCGTGACCGTTGTAAATATGATTATTATTAATAAAAATTAAAATTTTAAAAATTTGATGACGTGACATAATACATCAGTATATGATGTCATCAATATGGTGATTACATGACATACTAAATAATATTTTAGATATTATTATTAAAAGTTAGTTAAATTTAGTTAAAATGGTTAGTTAAAATAGATAGCGTTGTTGGAGTGAATTTAAAAAAATGATTAGGTAAAATAGATAATATAATATTTAAAGATATTTTGAATAACTATTTTAGATAGTTTTTTGAAAACGACCTTAGAGCGGCCAAGATCTACCTTTAACGTCACACTTTTATGTTAACGTCTACTCCATGAACATCACACTTTTAACTTGGAATTCCAACAAGACTTAAAGAGTTAAGGGTTTGCCTTCGGAAATCGTTTGACTCTATTCATATTTTTGTTGTAGATTGTACAGCCACTCTCTGTAATTCAACTCTCTCAATAGTAAAATTCTTGCAGATTCGTGGACATAGGCAAATTGTCGAATTACGTAAAATCTGTGTCTTGTTCTTTCTTGTTTCTTATTGCTTTATATTCTTGATTTGTTCTTCGATTGTGTGAGTTTGTTAATGAATTTAAATCGAGTTAAATTCCAACAACTAAATTAAAAGAGACTCAGATTCTATATCAAAATTTTAACAGTAACTTTTCTTTCCCACCCACCCAAACCCAAGACATACCTTCTTCTGTGTCCACGCCTATGATTGCTTTCAAAAAATAAAAAATTCATGTGAACAATCTTCTTCAACGCATTTGCTCCTTTCAACGCTTTCGGTTTTCGGTCTCCATTGGAACAAATTCATGGGCTCACAGGTTCCATTGGTCTCCATTGGAACAGTCTTCTTCAAGGCCATGTGAACAAATCACAAGCTTTCAGTTTTTGGCAACAAATCAGGCACCGATTTGAGTTGGTATGAGAGATTTGAGGGTGAAGGGCACCGACTGAGTTGGGTTTGATTGATGGGTTTGTTGCAGAAATTAGTCAGTTTCTCCATTGTTGATAAGCTTTTGGGATAATATGGAAATTTTATAAAAACTTTGAATAAATATTTAAATTCTTTCATTGGAATGATTTATATCAAATCAAACTTTTTATTTAAATTTGAGTCATCATTAGAGATACTCTTATACTTATTTGATATACAAAATTTAGCGAACAATTTGTTGAGCATAACAATACTTTAAAAACAATGCGAGTCTTTGAGGAAAGGTAGGAAGTGTACCGTAAATAACACTGCATATTACAAAATACTTTTCCTATAATCTGCATAGTGAGTTTCGGAATGAGCAATGTTATTGGGATTTAAAAAATTAATTTAATTTGTTAACTTAATGATATAACAATGATGTGTGGTCCAATAGTGTTATTATGATTGTAACTTTTAGACTTCTTCATTAGAATTAACTTTTATACATAATCTACCCCTGCTCACTTAAATTTAGCAAGTGTATACCAAAGAAATTCAAGAAAAGTGTATGAGAAGGGATCCAATCCCGTGAGTTACCGAGTTACATGACATCAAATAGCGTTTGATAAGTGACAGCAGAACTCCCACTACCCAAAGTGCCGATGGCAGAAAACATACATACAAGTATTTCACTCAATACTAACGTTGATACCGAAGTCCAAGTTGAAGTCCAAGTCCACTGATGTAGTAAAAGATTGGAGAGGTCTATAGTATGATTCCCCGTTTTTATCTTGATTTTTTTTGGGGGAAAATTTGACCGCACTTCTTCTATTGACTATATATTTAAAGACACATCCTCTATTTTTTAAATTTTTACCGACATTCTTTCTATTTTTTGAATTTTCATCGACACCCGATGTCTGATTAATGATGTTAACTAGAATACAATTTTACTAAATTACTCATGATATATTTTATGAAAAATTTTATCTACATCCCCTCTAAATAAAAATATCTTTAATGAAACTTTCTCTATTTTTTGAAATTTTTTATGTATTAAATTTGAGCGGATTAAAATTTGATTCGAGCTAATTAAAATTTATTTTTTACGTATTAAAATTTGAATCGATTAAAATTCATTTTTAATCGACTCGAATCAAATTTTAATCAACTCAAATTGAATTTTAATCAGCCCGAGTTTTGATAAATAAAAAAATATAAATTTTAATCGACTTAAATTTTAATACATAAAAATAAATTTTAATCAACTTGAATTGAATTTTAATTGACACGAATTTTAATAAGTAAAAAAATATAAATTTTAATCGACTCAAAGCAAATTTTAATCAGCATTAACAGTTCCGGTAGAGCTCAAATTAATTTGAATTTTAATACATAATTTTTTTTAATAGGCTCAAATTTTAATACATAAAATAATAAAATTTAATCAGTTCAAATCAAATTTTAATTTGTAGAAAAACAAATTTTAATCAATTTGAATTTTAATATGTAAAAAAATGAATTTTAATCAACTTAAATTTTATGTAGAAAGATTGTTTGGGGTTTATGTAAGGGTAATTTTGGTATTTTAAATAATTATTATTTTTTGTTAAAATAGATAGTTTAACAACCGGAGGGTGTCAATAATGTTTAAATATAAACTAGAATGAGCGTTAGTGATGTTTTGAATAATTAAAATGGTGTATTTGAAAATATGATAAACTAGAATGCATATGATAGGAATTTTTTTTAATTTGTTTTTGTTATTGTTATTATTTTTAAATATGAGTTAAATCTTAGCCAATCATAACTAATTAATTTGATATATCGGGTTAAAGTGCCGGGTAGAAAACTTTGACCTTTTAACTGTGAACACCTGTGGTAAAGACATAAGCTCTTGGGAACAACACGATGACCCAACAAAAAAAGCTGGGATGTCAAACTTAAGTAGGTGGTGGTGGGTGTGGGGGTGGATGTGGACGTGGTGGTGGTGGAGGAGGAGGTGCAGGGGGACAATCATATTAATGAAGAGAATGTAAAAGTCCTAGAAATGAAACAAGTCGCCCCCTTTCGTACACCAGGATGGTGCGTAGCTTTAGAGTCACGCAATTATTCAACATCTCAATATTTTATTTCAATAATTACTTAAAAAAATTTAAATAAAAATAAACTCTAACTAATACAAACTCAAATTTTTATTGAGATT